ACCTCTTGCCCAAACCACCCTTCAGCCAGCTAACTAAACATGACAGTGATCAGCTTCCTTGTTTAAAGTAGTGTGGGGTAGGTCTGTTGAGTTTTTTGTTGTTGTAAATAAACTTATTTTTACTGCATTTCATATACTCCAAGATGCACTTCTCCCCACTTTAACATCTTTGAAGTCAGGGGCATGACATCAACTGGCAAAATTTTTTCCTCCTTAGCAGAACACAAAATAGTTGTCATTTTACAGTGAACGTTGTCTTAGATGACATGATAGTTTGCATCAAATTTATCAACCTTTTTATTTACAACTTTAAGCTTTTGTCTCATGTTTAGAAAGGCCTTCTCTATCCTAAGATTAAATATTTTTCATTCTTCTATTATTTTTTTGGTTTGTCTTTTTTAAATTTAAAATTTATGGTGTATCTTTCATTTATTTTGGTGTAAGAACTAAAGTAAGAATTGGTGTTGCTTTGCCCCCCATGGATTTGTCACCCCACTTCCCCTGGGTGACGGAGCCACAAAGGATTACTCAAAGCCCATCTCTTCTGAGCAGTGAGAAGCCCCGAAGTGGTTAACTTCCTCAGAACCCTCAAGCGAGAGGCATCCCTTCCTTGGGAAATTAACCCCAAATTGGGGTTCTCTTCCTGCATTTATTTTCTAGAACAGGAAATTACAGGAAGAGAACATAGGTGGGGTTATAGTTTAACAATATAGGCTGGTAACTTTCAGTGAAACAAGTCAGATGACATTCCAGTAGACAATTAAGTGACTGACCAACAAAAGCTTGATCTTAGCAAACATTCCTTCTCTCTCCAACAATATTCCAGTATCTTTACACATTAATCAGTAACTAATCTGTCTTTGAGCCAGCAACATTGCTGTGCCACAAATCTTTATCTTATACCAGAGACTTTATAGCCTGAGGAAAATTTACTGTCCCCCACAAGGTCAATATTTGAAACTGCAAGGCTTTGGAAAACCAGGCCCTGTGAAGTACATTTGCTTTAAGAATCCTCTAAAAATTGGCTTTATTTTCCCTAAATGGCTTTATTTTTTCTAATTCCCTGGAAGTATCAATCATTTTTGTCCCAGATTTAATATACCAACCTTATCGTAGCAAAGTTCCCATATGTACTCAATGTATTTCTGTACCTACATTTGTTCTATTACTATGTCAGTCCCACAATGTACTAATTACAGCTAATGATGTCACAGTTTCATCAGCTCTAATATGCAATTACAAAATGCACCATTTTATGCACATTTAGAAAATACTAATTAAGTTACGATACACCACTGATAGTAAGAAGTATCCCAATCTTTATGATGTTAAAATAATAGAAAATGCACAGTTTGATCAATGCATTCCCATATGGTAGGTGGGGCAAGTCACCTTGGTTACTTTTCTTTTTTAGTAGTTTCATGATTGTTATCTATTTATTTTTCCCAAATAATTTTTTTTTTAATTTGGCAAGTCACCACCGCCACAAAACCCCCCCAAATAAACAAACAAATCTTGGGGTTTTAGTTAGGATTATATTGAATTTTTAAACAAACTTATAGAAAATTACACCAAGGATGCTTAATGGTTAGAAAGTAGCAGCCCTGGGCTGGCCTGTGGCTCACTAGGGAGAGTGTGGTGCTGATAACACCAAGGCCATGGGTTTGGATCCCATATAGGGATGGCCGGTTGCTCACTGGTGAGCGTGGTGCTGATGACACCAAGTCAAGGGTTAAGATCCCCTTACCGGTCATCTTTAAAAAAAAAAAAGAAAGTAGCAGCCTTTGTTTTTCCCTAGTCGGAAAGTATTCCAAAGTTCACAGCCTCTACCACGTTTCACCCCAAGAAGACCACTATTGCTGTCTCATCTAATGTGCTAAAGACTACAGAGGAAGATAAAAGCTTTCTATAGTAACAATGAGTGACAGGAACTTCTATATCTTTTAGAGAACAGAAAAGGTACTTGCCATGGACTGTTTGTGTCCCTCCAAAAATTCATATGTTGAAATGTTAACCTCCAATGTGATGATATTAGGAGTTGGGGCCTTTAGGAGGTGGTTAAATCATGAGGGTGGAGCCCTCATAAAGGGGACTAATGTCAGAGAGATGAAGAAGGCAGCCTTCTCGAAGCCAGAAAGAGGACTCCCACCAGGAACGAATCAGCCGACTTGCTGTCCTCAGACTTCCCAGCCTCCAGAACTGTAAGAAATAAGTTTTCATTGTTCGTGCCACCCAGTCCATGGTACTTTTGTTACAGCAGCCCTAAGACAGTACTTGAAGGATATAAAGAGAAAGATAGCTAATTTTAAGACAATTAAAGATTATTTCTAGTCATGATCTTTCTTACGCTAAAAATCTCATGAAAATAGTTTAAAAAGAAACAAAATTCAAAATTCAGAATTCCAAGAGCAAGGACATGGAGCTACATCACTTCTATAAGATCAAGACCCAGGGCCAGTAAGAACCCTGGGCTGGGGAGATTTGGAGGCCACCATCTGTCCCTTCTGCCTCCTGCAGGGGTAGAACCACATCAGATTATGCAATATAATGAGACTTCATGTTATTTTTAAAGTGCTTCACCTGAGCAACAGCAAAGAACCCAAATCCCATTCCAAAAACATAGCATAGAGTTTCCAGCCGTGGGTGAGGGCTGGCTTGGGAAGACCCTGGGACCACCTGCAGGTTCCACAGGCCAAAGATCCAGAGTCCGCCTGTGTGGGTGCCAGGCCAGAGAACACGGTGTTACAGTAGGGGCAGGCATGAGGTGAGCAGAGGTAGGATAGCCCCGACACCTGACAGGTGTGGTGAGGTGTCAGTGACCTAGAACCTAGAGGAGATGTCAACTGAGCCACGTCTCGAGGGGAGAGTGAGCCAGGTGGAGGGAGGAGGAAGAGACACTGTGAGCCCAAGGACAGATGGCCTGCAGGGGACAGGAGAGCAGGGAGCAGAGAAACTGCAGGACCCCAATCAAGGAGGTCAAGGACTTGGGAATTTTGTGCAGAATCCACAGAAGGACTATGGTCAGGAGAGATGACAAGATTTGCCTTCCAGACCCCACTTCCATCTGTGAGGCCACGGTACGAAAGGGAGAGGAAAAGGCAGGAGGGCTATCGGGGCAGCGGAGGCTCCCGTGCTTCCTGGATGGAGAAAGGGGTCTGGAGCCCCAGCAGCAGCGGGATGGCGAGGAGGGCAGGTTGGAGAGCAAGTTGCAGTGGTCAGCTGGCAAGAGGCAGGGCAGGGAGCTGGAGGCTTCCAGCTGGGGCAGTCAGAGAGGTGGTCACTGCCTTCATCCAGAAAGGTGACTCAGGAGGAAGAATGCCCCATTCTGCCCACGTGCAGTTGGGGAGGCCTACGGGCTGATCTAGAAAGATAAGTAAGTAGACTGGCACTCAGGAGAGAGAAGTTAGCTGAGGACAAACCTCAGTCACGCTCATGTAGAGCTGATCGTGCTACGTCCTTGAACATCAACGCCTAAAGGACTGAGGGGCATCAGAGAGAGAGGAATGTCCCCAAGACTCAGGGGAGAGTGGGCAACTCGGAGCCGCAGAGGACAAGGGAGAAGCCAGGTGGCCCTGGCCTCCTAGGCCAAGCTGCAGGCAAGGCAGAGACCGCTCCTGGAATGTGCGGCTGCAAAGGGAAGACCACTAGAGCCCCAGGCCAAGGCGGGCAGAGTGGAGGAAGAGACCGGTTCAGCGGGTTTTGTTTTGGTTTATTCATGTGACAATGGGAGAGAGAACTGCAGGAAAAACACCCAACCCGAAGAACTAGACGAAATGGAGGAGAGTGGGTGGGGTGAGGGCGGCCCAGGGCCCCACGACAAGGGGGATGCCAGAGCCTGCCTTGCGGTGACAACATGGAGGGAAGCTTCATCAACCAAGTGCACTCGCAGTTTCAGGGCTCTAGTGCCGCAGGGAGCCGTGCGCGAGGCAGGGCTGTGTGGTCAGCCAGGGTCACTGCAGATGCGCAGCAGGTGTTCAAAGAAGACTTGCTGGACAGACAAGAGGTAAATAAGGTCTAATAAAGTCAGTGCATGTCACCTGGACTCCAAAACTCCCGGAGACAGCTGGTGGTGCTTGGCCCTGTTCCTCCCCTGGGAAGCCAAAATGGTCATTTGCTACCCTCAGCTGAGATGTGTGCTTTCACCCTGCAGGTCTGTGTACTTCATGGGGGGCTTACCTAACTGCAATCAGGCCCAAAGCCCACAAAAGGAAAGGGGAACTCTCGGCTACGCACTTTCACGCAATGAAAGAAAAAAACAACAAAGCCCAAACAACCCAACGTTCCCACTAGGATGCTGTCACAGCAGATGAATCAAACCGCCTGCTGTCACCCAAGAGCAGGGCTTGGCTCCTCTGATCACGAGCTGCCCAGATCTGGTAGGGTCGCTGTGTCCTGCTCACCCCTAAAGACAGGGATGTGACCTCTGGAAAAGCAGCTCTCAACTCTATCTAGTCAGCTGCCACCTAAAGCTTGTTTTTCTAGAAGAAAACTCTCCCAGATGGAATTTACTTTCCTGAATCCTCAAGTGAAGTTCAAGGTTGAGCAGAGAGAGCCCTGCTAAGTTCTGATCCTTGCAGAGAGAAGATGCTGATAAAGACAAGTGAAGAGGACCACTGCAGAGGGAACACAATTTGATTGCACCCTGACTTTTAAGGTCAACAGTGGTGCTATAGGTAATGTTGTTTCTAAAAATGAATATTAATGTCTTATGGTTTATGATACTTAATAAAAATGTCACCATTGCACGTGACATTGACTCTTCCAAGCTTCACTTTTTTCCTTTACTAAACTTAAAAAGGCCATTTCTCAGGCCTAAATCCCCAGCCTACTGCCCATTAATTCCTCTCAGAAATAATGTACGCTTTTCTTCACTTAGTGTCTAGTGCCTGTAATAATTCTTTGTCCGTAAGACACTCTGGAGCACTGGCTTAAATCCCCAGAGGCTGTGACTTCTCCCCACTCCTTCACAGAAAGAAAAGTTTTGGCCATAAACAAAGGTACTACATGCAAGGATTTCTTTATCATTGATAGTGTTCACAGAATTTCACATTCAAACATAACAGAATTTCTAGTAAGGACCATCCAGATCCATCTGCAAACAGAATATGATTTACACAAACAAAACCCAGGCTGGGCTACCCAGGAAGGCGTGGAGATGGGACAGTGGCTCAGGTGGGACGGTGGCTCAGGCAGCCCACTGCGCTCAGGGGCTGGGTCTTCCGAGCAGAAATGCAAGCACAGCCCAGGTGGTGACGATGCCACAGACTCTGCAAGACAATGACACTGGTCAGCAGGCCCGCGGCGGCCAGGCAGGGTCACGTGTGAACCTAGCAGGTTTGGGGCAAGCGCCGCAGGCCTGCCCATTCTCCCTGACTCTGTTCCCCCAGATGTCATCTCTTCTATTATTCTCCTGATGCCACACTGAGTTCCTGCCTCCCAAGGTTAGAGTGGGTCTGGGGTGCAGACAAGTCACTTTTCCTGGTGATGTACCTCAGGGGCTGACAGAGGAGAAAGGGTTGCCAAAGAGCCAAACGTTTTCCCTCAACAATGCTGTTGTCTGTAGACATGGCCCCTAACCAGCAAACCAGAATCCTCATGAAGCCCCATTAACGGCAACCCATTCTTTCTAGTTATTCAAAATCTTGGATTCGGCCCGGTGGCGCACTGCTGCAGTGCGCCACTTGGGAGCGCGGCAACGCTCCCGCCGAGGGTTCGGATCCCACATACAGACCGGCCGCACTGCTGCAGTGCGCCACTTGGGAGCGCGGCAACGCTCCCGCCGAGGGTTCGGATCCCACATACAGACCGGCCGCACTGCTGCAGTGCGCCACTTGGGAGCGCGGCAACGCTCCCGCCGAGGGTTCGGATCCCACATACAGACCGGCCGCTCACTGGCTGAGCAAGGGGCGGGCGCAACACCGAGGGTTGCGATCCCGTTGCCGGTCCCGGTCCGGTACGGGCGCGACGCTGAGGGTTGCGATCCGTTGCCGGTCACGAAAAAAAAAGACAAAAAGGGAAAAAAAAAATCTTGGATTCGTACTCAACCCTTCTCGGGTCTGTTGCTGACCCCCTCCTCTCGCCACCCCCTACCACCACACCACACTGTGCCTGGCCGACGCACGGGCATCCTGGCTGCTCCCTGCCCCGTCTCCTCTACGGTCTATCTCAACATGGAAGACAGAGCAATGCTTTGAAAGGAAGTCAGATCACGTGCCTCCTCTGCTAAAACCCCAATGGTCTCAAATTTCTTCCAAGAGTGAGGCCCACAGTCCTCTCCCATGTGGCCCCCACTGGGACAAGATCCAGTTCCTTCTCACAGTGGCCCTGCTGCCCCCTCTGCCAGAACACTGTCCCCAGATTGCTCTGCCTGGCTCACTCCCTCACCTCCTTCGAGTCTTTAATGAGGTCCCCATCATCTCCTTTAAACTACAACCTCCCCCCAGGCACCTGCCACCCCACACCCGACCCCTTCTCTCATTTTTAATAAACACTTGTCACCTAATAAATTATACGGTTTACTTGTTTATTATGTTTATTTTATGTTACCTCCCACTGGTGTGGGAGCTCCAAAAGAGCAGAGATTCTTGTTTTGTTCACTGATAAATCCCTAGAACCTACAACAGTGCCCAACACAGCAGACGATCCACAAATGTGTTGAATGTTCCTGAATAATACTCAGTTCATCACACTTGTCAACACATGCCAGCTAGTGCACTGTGCTAGAAGCAGACCAAATGGGGAACATGGAACAGGCCTTCAGCCTGGTCACTTACTGCAACAAGCAGTTGACATTTGGGGAATGTCTCCAGTACCGATACACGGAGAGCTGCAGGGTCGGGTGGCCCCTGTACTCCTTCAGGACATTCCGCAGACTGCCAAGAGAAGTTTGCTTAGGTGAGCCGAGCAGCGGGACCACACCACCTGCTGCAGTCACACGCACGGCAGGTAAAGGCAAAGCGCTGGGGCGACTGCCAGGGGAGGACGAGCCGGAGCCAGGACACTCACTCCTTAAACTTATTGGTCAGCAGCAAGAACTGGCTTCGTGTGAGTCGCCTGACATCAAACTTGCAGAGATTGTGAAACTCGTGGTAGACCTGCTGCTCACTGACCCCAAGCCACTTCCTGACACTGAGGATGAGGATGGGGGGCCGGATACTGGGATAATCAGGACCAGGAAAATTCTAGAAAACATGAAGAACAGAAGAGATTTTCCACAACTGTGACTGACATCTTATCCAATTTACAAATCCTAAAAGAAACTAGGAAAGGCTGTTTGGGGTTGGGAGGGAAGAGAAGCAAAGGAAGGAAGGAATGAGGCCACGTTAGTTTTGGCAGAAACAAGAAGAAATAAAAAGCTCATCTTGGTTACTATCAGAATCCCTCTAACATACCCCAGAGAACACGAGGCCACTCCCACCCTGCACCTCTGAATAGAGTAAAGGAGCGAAATGAAAATCTACTCACGATTTTAGGGACCCCAGCTCGGATGAGATTCACTTGGTTCACGTAAGGAGCCAGCACATGGAGGTACTGGGAAAAGCAGGGCTCAGGGATGGGGCTGTTGCTACATGCACAGAGAAAACCCCAAGGCATTAAGGCCCACAGGAATTGGTGCCCACGTCCTCGGCCACAGCCAAGGATCTGGTCACAGAATAGGGGAAAGACACTGCCTCATTCCCTCCCCCCCCACAAGCCTTGAGGCTAACGTCAGTGCGCTTGCCCCAGCTGGCCAATATCAAAGAGCTCTCTCAATGGCCCAAGCAAAAGCAGAGCTTCCGGACGGTCACCATCTGTCAATGACACTTGGATGAAGATCTCTCTGCTGACAAACATTAGCAAATAGGCTCAGAGAATCAGTGAGAGGCCACTGTTCAAAGGAAGCACTATTTTATCATCCCTCATTCCACCAGCAGCCCCTCCTCTGTCTAGGGACCACACACGCACACCTGAGCCCAGGCCCCAGGAAAAGCAGAGGCCATGTGGCCAGGCGGGCCTGGGCAGCTACAGAACTTCTCTAAACCAAGCAGGGGTTTTAGGTTGTGAGGATTAAAAGAAATAAAGGACGTGAGATCCAGGGGCCCGGGGCACTGAGGTGCTCTGCTGCTGTTAGCTCCTTCACTGTCCAATGCCCGTGTACCTACCCATGGGCACTTACATGCTGCCAAACCACAGAAAAGGGGAGACAGGCTGGCAGAGTTCTTATTTAAATTATAAGTCTCATATCAGTGTGACATAAAACATTTGCATTTATAATATCCATTGCTAAAACAGACTTAACGGGCAGTATCCGAGTTAACAGATTATAGTCCAAAAGTGTTTCTAAGTCATTCCCAAAGAACATGTTACACTTCTGATTAGCTCCTTCACCTGGCCTGCTAAATCCTATAGAAGAAATGTACACACCAAGGACAGGGCTGTAGAACACATATGTCAAATGCATATCCGGCGCTGCATGCCCAGTGCTGTAGGCATCGAGGGCAATGCTGCCATGGGGAAACGTGCTACAATTCCAATTTGGGGGTTCACAAATCTCTCCCCAGCCTTATTCCAAGACACGGCCCTTCCCCCCAGCCTATGTGAAACCCAGCAATGTGTCATTCATTGACCTGAACACTCTATCCTTCGACTTCATTAGTGTTTACATGGTTACGAGAATACACGTAGGTAACAGACCAGCACACGTACCAGGCTGGGCAGTCCTGAAGCAGGCATTAGAACTGAAGCCTAGCCTCACTGCCCGGGGCTCCTGATGATGTGAATTCTCTCAATGCCAAGACAGGGCCACAGGGGCCAGAACCCACATAGGCAGGAGTTGGGCGGTAGGAAAGGGCTGCTCTTATGGAAGAAGGCTGTTGTCTACAACTGCTGTGCTCACTGCTGCCCAGTTGGGGACGAGATATCGACACAAATTGACATTCTCCATTCTCCCTTCTTTGCGAGAGCCTAGGGACCAGGCCGGGGAGGGGTCTCGGCTTACAGCAAGGGCTCAAAAAATCCTGACCACTGATTGAATAACAGGATAAAAGGAAAGAACACTTACCCGTGCAACCTCTGCAGGAGCAAGTGTGCCACTTTCAAAAGAACTGGAAAAAAAAACAACTAGAAATGTAACAGACCTTAAGGCCTTATCGAAATATGCAAACTCGTGCTTTGTTTGCATTATGTGCAACCCAACCTAACATAAATAGAGAACCTAGGGTGGCAGGGGCTTGTCACCAATAAAAAGTTAGTCTCCTCTGAAAAGAGCAGCACCTCTTACCTGATCCACAGAGGAAGGCGTCATACGCTGCTTCGTGGGGGTACTCCATCCCAACTGAAGCATTTTTCCGCAAGTAGGAGAGAGTGCATCGAGCAGCCATTAGAAACACGGCCTGGGCAAGGAAGTCTCTCTCCCCACCCTAGATCAACATCCCCGGCAGCTGTGACATGTGCCACCACCAACTGTTGTGTGCGCCCCGTGCCGGCCCCATACCACCTTCACCTTGGTCCTCCTCACGGTGGAGAAAGCCAAGAGCTCGGAGCTTCCTGGCAGACTAAACACCACATGGAGAAACAGAGCACCCCCTATGGCCTCGGCTGCCTTCTGGAATTGCTCGTTTTGAGGGCAGCTATCATATGGAATAGAGCACAGGAAAACCATGGAGGAAAAACCCCACGCAGACCTCCCACATCCCTGCTGTCCAGGGAGACCAGGGTTGAGGAAAAGCCCTAGCTCAGCACCTCAGCACTTTGCCACCATGCAAGGAGCACGCGCTCATGGAGCATACCATATTTTTCACATTTCCTTGCGTGAATAATCACTGGTCCAGAATTCTTGGTGGGATTTAAGTCACTATTGGGGAAGAAAAACAGGATAAAGAACAATTTGCTGAAAATAATTTCTTCTTGTTCTCTTCTCAGCTCATTAAGTTAACATAAACAAAGATATGTCTTCAGTATGTTTGGTTTTCTTTTAGTGCACGGATCTAGAAGGTCCTGGTAACTAGGCAGTAGGGCACTTCAAAGAACAGCGGGGCAGAAGTCTCCAGCAAGATAGAGAAGTCGCTGTCTCTGCCCTCTGGGGCTGGTGGAGCAACTAGCGAGCAGCAAGTACAGAGATGATCACACCTACATCCTACAAATGCAATGAGAAAGCTGAAAGTAATGGCAAAAAATGTTTGTGCGGGGGTAGGGTGTGAAAGGAGATGATGAAGCATGAAGTGCTGGAGGAGACATCAAGTGTCAAGTAACCGATGCCACAAGTGGGAAAGAGCACCTATCAGCACCCAAAGGTCTGCTGAGCAGCCCAGGAGGCCAGCCAAGGCTGCAGACCACCACGCTGGGAACAGCTCCAAGAAATGCCCTCCTTACCTGTTCAGGACTTTGTACACTTCTGAAAGGTTTGAAACCCTTGGAAAATTCAGTTCCTAAAATTATGGAAAATAAATCAGAATAATGCATTTGTGCTTTTGTTTAGTCTCTGCTTCAGGTGTTACCAAATGTCTATTAAAATGACCTGGAAAATGCTAACTCCTACAACCTCTTCTTTCTCTACAAATGTTATATGTCCTTACTCCTTAATTACAAAGTCAGAGTACCTAGTATCCTTGGGTCTCCTAGAAGGAAGCCCAATAACCCAGGCTAGGAAAAAAACTGTACACAAACCCACACAAACCATCTCCCTTAGAAGATTTATTTAAGAGATTCCACAAACATAGGAACCCAAGACACCAGGCCAAGGCCAAGGACACATATGTAGGATACAGGCATTCTAAGGACTAGAGGGTGTTGGTGCAATGTCAGGAACCTAAGTCCTAAGAGTTCCTCATAGCTAGACATGCATGAAGTATATTAACTGTAATAAGAGCTTCTCTGGGCAGAGATGTACCAAGTAACCCACTCCCATTTCGGGGGCCCTTCCGGAACAATTCACTCTAAGTGATCACCCTAAGGCTTTACAACATCGATCTGATTCCCCTTTCTCTGTTCCTCAGTTTAATTTCTAAAAAGCATTTAGACCAGGGGGGGGGTCCCAACCTTCCTTGTCCACATGCAGTGCACAGCCTAACTGCACAGGAGTCACCTGGGCAGCTTTAGAAGTACCACCTGGCCCCACTCTAGACTGGAAGAGAAGCTGACAGTGGGGTCTAGTGTCGGCATTTAACTTCCCAAATGATTCTAAGGTGCTGTGAGGGTTGAGAATTCATGACCTTAGCGCTCGATAAAAAAGATGTTTCCTCAAGATTTTTCAATTGGGGACTCCTACCCTGGTGCTCTTTACAAATGTTGCAAATATTTATGAGGTACGTATCAAGCTCTAAGATGAATTGTTCCATTGTCAGATCTAAATAAGTACACAAACTATATGCAAATAAGTCAAAACATGGGAACTTGAAAGAAAAAAAAAATCATATATAAGCTAATGACCCATAGGTGCCAAAATACAAAAGGAAGCTGGTCCTCCTTTTTTCAAGATAAAAGGGCTCAAGAAACAATTTTTTAAAAAGAGAGAAAGCTAAGTGTTACTGGTATGGACAAAGCAGTCCTTAACCCAAAGCAATTTCATTCCTTACCTTCCAGATATCCTTTGTCACATTCTTGGTATCAATGAGAACAGGAAATAGGTTGTGGATATTCTGCTTAAATTGATCGTAGCTTTCTGAGAGAGAGAAAGAGCCAGATAGTCAAAAGTGAGTGAGTTTGTTGGTAGAGATGGGAAGGAACATTCTCTAATCCAGCTTGCCACCAACACTAATAAAGAAAACAAAAACAAAATAAGAACTGAAAACATCCTTAATCCTAACCACTAAGGATTTCTAATTTCACACCAACCTGCCATCATCACTTTTAATAGTAAAGGCCATTTATGGTTTTCCATTAAATTCAGGATGCTTTCAATTGCCAACGTTAGTTAACATAGTTTGAGAAGTTCTAGCCAATGGAACAAGAGATGGAGAAACAGATATTACTAGAAAGACAGATACAAAATCATCATTTGTAAATGAGGGTTCAGAGAAAATCTGAGAAAAATCAACTAAAACTCATTATTAATGAAAGGTAAAGTATCCTGATAAAAGAAAAACATTTTTTAAAAAGAACTAGTAATTGGTGAATTCAAAGTTACAGCTGCATATTAAGAGGTTTATTCAACACACACACACACATACACACACACTAAAAACAAATACTGGGTTACTGGGAATGAGGCGTACAAAAATGGCTGTTCATCTCAAAATGAAAGGAAAGGAGAAGAAAAAAAAGAGCAAGAGAGAGGCCTTTTTCAGAGGCCAGATTTGGCCCACTAAGATGGAGCCACTAAGGATGCCCATCTCCCAGGAGAGAACTCACCCCTTCATCTTGCAGCACTGTCCAGATGTTGGGGAGGGCCTGCCTTAGCACCAACTGGACCTCAAAGGCCCGCAACCCTGTGGCAAGTAAACACAAAGTGCATACAGAACCTGGAACAGCATAGCACCTTCCCTACAAAAGAAGCCCGAGAGGAAGAGATGCTGAGACAGGTGCCTATGCTTGTGAGCCACGTGGCAGGGCATGATTCTCAAGGCCACTCAAACAGGTGATGCTAAAGAGTTGTTTGTGTGGTTAGAGCTACTACTATTGACCGTGTTGAAAATTAAAACTCTAAATGTTAAAAAAAAGTTCTTTTAAAGTAACAAAAAACTCATTATACATTACAAAAATGACATTTATGAAATATAACTATTTTCCAAAATGAAAAAACCCTAGTGAGAAGAGTGACATTGTTTTACATTTTTGCAAATCTCTTTAACATCTGGCTGGAATCTCATATCTGCTTCTGCACTCGCTCTGTTGTGATATGTTGTGGTCAATGAAGCATATGAAGAAAATGCAGCCTCAAACAGATACGTAGATGGAAAAGGGAAAGAATCACTAGCCTTATCAAATGACTTTGGATATTCTTCACTAATACACCACCAAAAACCAACAAGTGGTAATTTCCTAAAGATTAGCTGTAATGTGGCATCTGAAACCATTCTTAATGAATTTTCTAGTACTGTTACATTAAAATCCACTAGACTATCTTGCACTTGAATGGATCTGTCACCCATGATTTTGTAACATCATGCATGGGTTATTTGGAAAACACTCATTTGCAGAGTTACACAGATCTTCCAAAAGTTCACACTTCATTACACAATTCCAACAAAAGACATTTGTAAACATGACCACTTGTCATCAGGAAGGTCTCAATATTGGGAAGCTATCAAGCTTATGGCGGCAGATGCAAGTTCTTTGAAATTCCAGTTTTTGATTGAAAGCTTGAGTTTTATCACTAGCAAATACTGTGAGTTATTTTCTTTAAAGTGACAGGCTTACTTCTTTCACCTGAGAAAATAATTGCAAAATACCCAAGTCTAAATAACCACAGCCAGTTATTTTTAGTAAAAATGATAATCCATGGGGGAGGGGGGGAATACCAGCTAAGTCACCTCTCAACTAAAAAAACTGCATAAGCGCTTTTCCTTGATACAACCACTGTACTTTGGCATGCAGCAGCAATGTTTTATACACTTATTTTTTGCATACTTACATTGCCATATAGGAAGGGTCTTAAAAAAGTTCACGGAAAAATTTGTATTGTCTTTCAATTCTATTTTCCATGAACTTTTTGAAGTACTCTCGTATAATAACAATCAAAGGTTGAGATTTAATAAAACCAAGAACAATACTTCTTTACTAAGGGGGTTCTTAGGTAAAATCACCTTTTTTTGTTTGTTTGTTTTTTTAACTGAGAGTAAGTGGTAACAAAGAATACAACTACCACCAGTACGGTTTGATGCTCCTGCCTTAATCTGTGCCAAGGTGCCAGCAGGTTTGCCCACCACTGCTTTGGCATCAGTGCAATGGTGCAATGATAATGGCAAGTGAGAGCTGAGTGTTACTCTGAAAATAGTTTTGATCTCATGGACCCCTTAGAAAGAATCTGAGACTCCCGAGGTCCCACAGACCAGGCTCTGAAAACTGCTGTGTTAGGACATGTTCATTGTGGTTCCACACTGCACTGTGGGAAAAAAATGCAGATTAACGAAAGTCAATACAATAAGAGCACATAAGGCACTTGGGATTGGGATAAAAAGGATGGCTCATGAATGGAGGCTGACTTCTGCTGTAGACTGAATGTCTCCCCAAAACTCAGTGACGATTGATCCCCATTATAACAGCGCTAAAAGGGTAGCAAATCCAATTATGGTGGATTTGAAAGGTGGGGCCTTTAAGAGGTGACTAAATTGTGAGGACAGTGCCCTTATGAATAGATTGATTCACATGGAGTAGTGAACGTAGTTGTAATGGCTTTGTAAGGAGAGCAACTGAGGTTAGCTCTCTCTTGCTCATGTCATTTTCTTGCCATGTGATACCCTGCCTCACCATGGGACCCTGTAGAGAGTTCCTACCCAGAAAAAGGTCCTTATGAGATGCGCCCCCTGGACCACAGACTTCCCAGCCTACAAAACTATAAGAAGTAAATTTTGTTCCTTTATAAACTATCCAGTTTCAGGTATTCTGATATAAGTGACAGAAAACAGACTAATACAACTTCCTTATTCTTGACCCCTGGACCACAGACTTCCCAGCCTACAAAACTATAAGAAGTAAATTTTGTTCCTTTATAAACTACCCAGTTTCAGGTATTCTGATATAAGTGACAGAAAACAGACTAATACAACTTCCTTATTCTTGAAATTCAAAGTAGGTCAAAAAGCCTTCCACTTTTGAATTCAGGTCAGAGCTTTAGCCACAAGGACTGTGTATTCACTGAGCAAATACATCAGACTCAGTCATGAGGCACTGGGACCAGGATCTGTGGGAAAGAGAGGATATGTCTCTCCCAACTCCTGGTAAATGACAACAACCTGCCCCAATGCTCCCAAGCCGGGAGGAAGCCTCCTGCCTACCAGCAATACCCGGGAGAGTCATCCAGTCGCCTTCTTCGGCCAGGTCCAACCACTGTGTCACTTCATCAATCACCACCTTGATTTGGTCTTTATCTGGAAAGCTGAAAATGAGCACATGAAAGTGGAAATGTTGGAGAAAACCTCATCTTAGGGTTCTGGCACGGTTAACACAAGAGGAGTTTGAGGCCTCCGGTTTTAACTTTGCAATCTTATGAAGAAAACAAACAAAAAAAGATGCATTTATTCTCTGAGTCTTTTATGTGATGGGAAGCCAAACACTTGGCCTATATTCTTCCACATGTTTACAAAAGGAAGCCAAACACTTGGCCTAAATTCTTTTATAGGTTCACAGGAATAAATTCAATCCCCTTCTGCTTCTCTAGAATATATGGAGGAAAAGCCATTGGTTCTAGCCAATACTACGCATTACTATCAGGACTGTCTCCTTTATTTAGCTTTCAGAGATGATAAAGTACCATCTGGGGGAAAAAAATCACAAAAAGACAGGGACTTTGATAAACACATCTCCTCTATTAGAAATATAAGAACATGATGTTATTTTCAGATAAGGAAAGACCTTTCTCCAACATCGAAAATAACAGAAGTTTACAAATTCTAATCGTGTCTTTTCCCTACAAAAAGCTGCATGTTTTTATATGAAAACCAGCACCAAAAAACAAAAACAAAAACAAAAAAAACCCCAACATTACATAAGATAATTATCTGGACCAGATAATCAATCATCATATTTTGAGTTAAAAGCTGTCTCGTCTAATCCCGTTCCTGATAAAGGCAAAGAATCTAAAGCCCAACAAGCTTAAATGATTTGTTCAAAACCAACAACTAGTTGACAGCATGTCTGATTGGAACTCAGGGTGCCAGCTCCATCTCCCACACAGAGCTGCCTCTCTCACTGTGGTGCCTCCTGACCCTTGCTCCACAGCAGGGCCAAAGGAAAAAAAGCAGAGATCCTGCCCTTGGGGAGCACAGATGAGTCTCACGCATGCCAGAGCAGGCACAGCCAACCGAGGCTTAGGTCTCAAGTCAGTGCCCACCCAGCAGGACCAGCACAGTCAAGGTTACCTATGAGTTACCCTTGAAAAATCCTTCAGAAGATGATATTGGAGACCAACATAACATTTCACAGCAAGTCCAAAAGGTCATTTTCCCCCTGTAGCCCTGGAATGAAATTCCTGCTTCTCTGAGTACCAAATCCAGAGCCCGTTTTTCTTTTCTCGTTTTTAAACACTAAAATCACACTCGATGCAGTGAGAGCATCACATGGAGCTGAAAGTGATGGAGGAGACAGCTGAAGGTCACTTCTCATCTCGGGCATAGGAAGAGAATCACCAGTACCACATGCTGTCTTGTTTGGCTGAGCCCAGGAAGCTGAAGCCATCCCAGCTAACTGTGAATGGTGCGAGGGCACCATACTCCTGCAGACAGCACACCCACCCCCAGGCAATGCAAAAAAACAGCCACAGAGAAACCAAAAAGCCCTTGGAGAAACAGGCTGTACCTGCGAACTCTCCAATTCCCCGTCAGGATATTGCGTTTAATTTTCTTCTCCTGTTCTTCATTCATATATGGGATTCCATTTTTAAGAAACTAAAGACAGGAACAAAACAAGGAGACTAGTCACAGGGGTCCTCTGTGGCAGGTAGAGGAGTGAACAAGTAAGAAAGGGGAAACAGAAAGAGACCCACAGGCTAGTAGACTAGATCACTTTCAGGACACTCTCCTTCCCTCCTTCAACACTATACCTTGTTATAGTTGAAGCCATACTGATTCAAAAACTGGACACTGGAAGCCTGGAAAGAGAATTCTGAATCCAAAATTCCAAATGTTGTAGGAAAGAGAAAGAAGTTACATGAATGGGCTACATACCTATAGAAAAGAAACATAAGGAGAAAAAGCCAAAACCATTAAAAAAAAAACTGGCTCATAGAGCAGGCTTCAGGGTGGGCTGTCTCTTCTTTGTGAGAAGTATTTGGGGCCGGCCCCATGGTGCACTCGGGAGAGTGCGGCGCTTCGGTGTGCAGCAGCGCTCCCGCCGCGGGTTCGGATCCTATATAGAGATGGCCGGTGGGTTGTGATCCCCTTACCGGTCACAAAAAAGACAAAAAAAAAAAAAAAGAAGTATTTGAATGTCTGCTGTGTTTCAGGTACTATGACTGGCACAGGTGGCCAAAGCAAAAGGCAGAGATCCTGCCTGCCCTCAGGGAGAGGGTCCACTGCAGGCCCTTGATAATGCCCCCGGGGCTGCTACTGAGAGTGCACAGCTCAGCACCCTCACTGCCTGCAGGCAGGGGCCATCCCCACAGATCGAGCATCCTTTCTGGCTGCTGGTGCCCATGAGTACCAGGCAGTTTAAACATCATCCTCATTATAACACACACTGTTACTCGCTGTAATGAAAATGCACAAGAGACCATGGAAACAGAGAAAGGAGCACTGAAGATGCAAGGTGGCAGTGGTGGGGGGGTATGGGGCGTGCAGGGACAAGCCCCACAGAAAAGGTACCGCTTTGAGAGAAGCCTGAAGGATAAACTGGAATCTGCAGAGGACAGAGAGGGAGGAAGAGCAGAAGTAGAAAAGAGCAGCAAGTGTCCTGGACAGAAGGGATTCAGACACCCAAGGCAGAATTTGAAGCGGAGCAGCCGTAGAACACAGACAGCCAAGACCCTTATGTTTTACAAAAGCTTTTTATACATACTTGTTTGACTCTCCTTCAATACAGGAAAACACAGACAATCCTAGAAGAACGATAGAGAAAATGAATACCACACAAAGGTGCCTGAGTTAACCACAATGACAAGACATTTCAGGCAGTACTTTGCATCCACGGGTACTGCGAGAACTATAGGACGTGAGAAAATCCTTTTTGAAAAGCAAAAAACAGACAGACTGAAAGCATGGGAACTGTTGAATTGTAATTCGCCTGAAGTTACTGAAATGTAATTGTGAATGCTTCTTCAAACACAGAAGTAAATATTAAATTGACATTTTCATAGGTTTAAAACCAGAGGAAACACCAAAAACCATAAAGTATAAGATTTATGAATTTAACTGCTAGACTGGCCGGTTAGTTCAGTTGGTTAGAGCACAGCCTTATAACACCAAGGTCATGGGTTCGGGTCCCCATACTAGCCAGCTGCCAAAAATAAATAAAAATTTTAAAAACTGAAAACGTATATTGTGAAAATGTCTGTGTTGCTTAAAAAAAAACATATACAAAGTGAAAAAGACTTCAAAGTGGGGGGAGAACAATAGAAACTAAGCTGTTTCCCATACTTCTCAAAGAGGCCTTATAAAATTAAGAAAAAACACTGCAACAGAAAAATAGCAAAGAACAAGGATAGAGACGAAAATACACACACACAGTCTCTCTCTCTCTCTTCATTCATAGTAAAAGCAGGAGGCAGTAAAATCTGGCCCACAGCCTGTTTTTGAAAATAACGTTTTACTGGAACAGAATCATGCTCACTCACATTTATGTATTATTCGTGGCTAATTTTGCATTACAAAGGCAGGACTGAGTAGTTGGAACACAAACTGCATTGCCTGCAAATCTAAAATACTATCTAACCCTTTACAAAAAAGTTTGTTGATCCCTGTATTAAAAAATGTAAATCTGAATAATGATCAGATCATTTTTCCTTTACCAGGTGGGTAAAATTTTTAAGCCTCATAATATTAGTCTTAATATTATCAGCATTAGTGAGGGAAACAGGTATATTTGCTGTTGTTCATGTAAATCACTGAAAACTTTCTGGATGGTTGGTAGGAAAAGAAATAGTTTGGCAATACGAAGGTACTTCAAAAAGTCCATGGAAAAATTGAATTAAAAGATAAAGCGAATCCTCCTACAAACTTCTTGAAGACCCCTCGTATACTGTACATCAATACTTTAACACACATAGTTTGCAATTCCGCTGCTAGAATTATTCCAGATGCATATATCCACAAAAGTCCAGCAATATGTAAATACCAAGACAGTCAATGCAAATTTGTTTAATTATACACAATGGTAACTGAAGTATGCACTATTAGGAGTCTAAGTCAATACACATTCAAAGTTTGGAATATTACACAACTGTTAAAAATGAACAGATCTGTATAGAAAGAACTCCAAACCCCATCCTGGGGGGGGGTCCAAACCCCATCCTGGGGGGGGGGGGGCGAGGTGCAGAAAAAAATATTTATAGTAATACCTTTTTTGTTTACATTTTCCTTAAAAAAAAAAAAACCACACATACACACATTTTTACTTGAAAGGTGGAACAGGTTAATAACAATTGTTCCTTAATGTTGATTTATTTATTTAGGCATGGAAATGATGCTGCTAAATTTTCTGCTTGCTATAAAGTGTTGGTCCAGTAGGCATAATATGGCCCAAAACAAGCATACAAAGTGATTCCCAGTATCTGTGAAAAATGTCAAAGCTGTTTTTATCAGTAGGAAACACAAAGACAATAAAAATATCTTCTTGAATAACTCATAACAGCTGAATATTAAACTCACCAATCTGACAGACTGTAAATTGCTGAACACTTTGACGGGTCTTTAGATACCACTCCGATGGCAAATCAAAAAGACTGTGAAAAAACAAGGCATCTCTTTCCATGGGTAATGAGGTTGGATCAAGGTACTATGGCTTCCAGGGCTACAGGCAGCATTTTTTCCTTGTTACAACTGGGGAACACTACTAGCATGGAATGGACAAAAGCCAGGTCCCCAGACATGTGGGGCCATCCCACACAAAATGTTCTGACCCCCAAATGCCATTAGGGTGCATGAGAAAGTGCTGGTCTGGTCAGGATCTTATACAGAGGGGACACAGGGGAGTCACCTCTTGCTTGGCTCTGAAACAGCTTTAGCTTTACCTGATCTGCTGGGGCCCAGCCAAGTTAGAACGAAGGCCAGTGAACTCTATATCCAGACCTGCAGGGAGGCAAAAAAGACAGAAGTCCCCAGGCACAGACCATCGCCACCAGTCTTTACACCAAATGCTGCAGGTGACCAACGCATTGGTCCTCACCTTCCTTGTGCTCAAGAAGCCAGGTGAGGTCAAGATAGGGAAATGGAGGGAGCCAAGGCAGAGACCAGCCAAGCCAACCCGGGTGTCCGCGGGCCCAGCGCGGCTCAGGGTGTAATCCTTGCTCAGAGTCCCACTGCCCAAGGGGCCCGACGAGGAAGCCCCTGTCCCGCCCGAGGAGCGCTCTCGGAGCCCCTGCGGGCGGTCGTCCCCGCTGGGCCGTGTCACCTCCCCCCCGCCCCCCGCCTCAGAGTCCCGCCAGGGCGGAGGGCTCTGGTGACGCGGCCTGGAACCCGGGGCGGCTTACCCACGAAGTCGGCGCCCAGGACGAGCTCCTGCAGCATCGGGAGGCTCTGCTCGAACTCGTCGGCGCCCACGTCCATGGCCACGTCGCGACGCCGAGGGCGGCCCGCACTGCCCACGCGCTTTCCGGCTCGCGCGGTCCCGCCGGTCCTCCCGTCCGCTGGGGCGCTGGCCGCGAGGGTGGAGGTGGCCTGCAATCAAAGCCCGTGTCCCCGGCTCCTCAGCACGTTCTTTGCCGTCCTCAGGGTGAGAAAGCCACTCACGGGGACGTGGGCCGTTAGGCGGCGCAGGATGGGAGAAGGTGCCGCCTGGAAGGGTGAGAGCAGGGAGCTGAGGGCGCCTGAAGGAGCTGCGACGAGCCCGACTGTGGCCCCGCTCCCCCCCCCCACCCCACCCCCGGCTCCTAGAGCACCTCTTCCCACTTCCCATCACCCATATCGGCCTGTCCTGTGCGCAGCCCGCTCGCCCGCCACCTTTCCTCCACTCTGTCCGCCTCACCATTGCCTTGACACCGCACCTTCATCAAACCTGGCGCACAAAGCCTCGGGAGCTGCCCGTTAAATTGAAGCAATCCCGGTTTGGTTCCCAGAGATTATCTAGCGAACTCCTTGCAGAACTTGCAGAAATCCCTCCCTGCAGCACTTACAAGGAACCCTGTTTTTGTTACTGTCAGTTTATGGTCTTCCTTGAAACGTCCTTCCTTGAATTCTAGACTTCTGTTCGAGCAGGCTTCCAGAACAGTGGTCTTCAAAATGAGTTGCTCCAATCAATCTTTAAGGTGAGGCAAGAAAATACTAGAATTATACACTTCTAAAAATGACTCTACTGGGTTATGTATTGATCAAAAGGAGACTATTAAGCCACTGGATTCTGAAAGCCTTTCAGAATCAATCATACTTTTTAAAAATGTTGGTGCATACAGATTTATGTTGTTTTTTAAATAAGATACTGAAATACTCAGATTGGCAGCGGTAACATATTTCACTTCTAAATAAATGTATAATTGGGGTATATGTTAAAAAAAAATTGGAAAATAATGCTCTAGAAGACATCTTAACTGCTTACAGGTTCCTCCTCCTCACACTTATCAAATAGCCAGAAAACTAACACCTTACTGTGATTTAGTCAACTGCTTTCAGAGAACTGCCACGATTCCCATCCCAAGCTCCAATTTTAGATTAACTTGCATGCGTTTCAACCTTCATCTCCTCCCTAGTAAGTTTTTTTTTTTTTCCTTTTTGTCTTTTTTCGTGACCGGCAACGGATTGCAACCCTCAGTGTCGCGCCCGTACCAGACCGGGACCGGCAACGGGATCACAACCCTCGGCGTTGCTCCCGCACCTCGCTCAGCCAGTGAGCGGCCGGTCTGCTCGTGCGATCCGAACCCTCGGTGGGAGCGCCGCCATGCTTCCCAAGCGGCGCACTGTAGCAGTGCGCCACCGGGCCGGCCCATCCCTAGTAAGTTTTAACTTCATGGCAAATGCAGCACACATTAACCCTGTGTGCCACCTCATTTTTGGTACTCTAAAGGTGCTTTTTAATAGACCATTCATGAGCGGATGCTGAAACCACAACCTGGCCGATACGATGCTGTTTCCACTGCCATTTTCAGTTCCTCGTGGCACTCTTTTCCTCTTTCAAATTTGCTTCTCTGGTATGAAGCAAGAACCCAAGTCACATTAGTATTTGCCCCTTTTACCTTCACATACTAAGACTCTTTATAATAAAAAGTTTAGACTGATATTGACATTCTTATTTAAAAAAAAAAAAAAACACCCACACCCTGAGCAGCAGACACACAGCCTGAGCAGCAAATAACTATCATTTATTGAGATTACTATGAGCCAGACATGGTAAAAAGGGCTTTAAATAAAGATCATGTAAAAAGGGCTTCACATAAACCTCATATGAGCACTTTTGCCTCAAAAGTGAGCTCAAAGGCAGAGAAAATTTCATATAACCAGAAAATAAGATTTCATAATATGCCTTTATTTTGTAACTTATAAACAACTTTTAATTTGTCCTTCAAAAGTTAATTATAATTGATGACTGCTTTTCTTAGATACTTCTCTCATGTTCAAGAGAGGGGAAGAATTTAGCCCTTGATTTAAAAGAAACCAAACAAACACAAGGGGGGGAGGAAGTTGACCTTAAGTACAAATACTCCACTGTTCATTATTGCTATAAAACTTCCAAGCTGGTTGTTCTTCCAGATGCTCTCTTTTGATGGCTGACAGTTTTATATTTACAAGTTTGAAACAATGCTGCTATTTTATACATAGATTCTCCGAGGTTCCTGTAGAACCACACCACCTTCCGTCACGGCACTCTGTAGTCGTTTCATCTGGTTTTGAAGATCAGAGAAAAAAGAAAAAATTAAGTCAGCACCACAAGTAAGCTGAAAATAAACAGTTTACTTTCCAAGAGACAGAAATAAACAACTGATTTGCCTCTTGCTAACTTCCCAGCCTTCACTGGTTTTTCAGAAAGTGATCTTAATGATGACATAGATAAGAAAAAGGAAACGTAGAGATGTCAAGGATCAGCAGCATTCAAAAATATTTTATGAACAAGATATCACTATATGAACAGGAAGTATAATGGTTGATATTATGGGCTATAGAATCAGTTACTCTAGGTTTGAAATTGACCACAGATTGACTCTGGGCAAGTCGGCCTCGGTTTATTTATGTACAGAATGGGAATACTCATTCCTACTCTAAATATTGCTGTGAGAATGAAATGAAGTAATGCTGTAAGAGTCCTCACCACAGGGTCTGACAAATGGAAAGCACTTGATAAGTAGAAACTCTTATTACCATGTAAATATCTAATGCCAAGAATTAACACAATACCTTTTAAAGAATTACATGAAAACAAAAATACCGAATCTGAGGCTGCCTCCCAAGGAGTTGGCTGGTAGACCATGAAGTTGATTCCTGCCTCTAAGCATCGCTCTGCCAGCACTCGTCCTATACTCTCACAAGCCACCACATTTCGGGTACTATAAAGGTGCTTTTTAATAGCCCATTCACGCGTGGATGCTGAAACCACAACCTGGCCATTCCGATGCTCAACAAGCGCTTCTACATGATGCTGAGTCCTTATAACTCGCAACCTAAATGGATGAGAATAGAATATAATCATAGAAGAATCTATCCTAAAGTTAAATTACTTCAGGTGAATAAATACCTAAACATTTCTCAAGAATTTAATGTTTGGTTGATTTACTTCAAGATACTTAACCTGGATTTTCCTTGGGAAAGGTGTTTTTCCTCTACCTTTATGAAAATATCCTCAATAATAATAAATATCTCCACTTAACTTCAAGTATCAAGGAAAAATTTCGCATTTATGAAGAGCTGACTTTTATTTACTTACACATCTACTTCAAAAAGTGATTTGGGGGCCAGCCCGGTGGCGCACTGCTACAGTGCGCCGCTTGGGAGCGCGGCAGCACTCCCGCCGAGGGTTCGGATCCCACATGCAGACCAGCCGCTCACTGGCTGAG